ACAACGATTCTAAAGGCTGCAGCCCTTTCTCGTACTGGATAAAGAATTTAGTTTCTCTTTCTCTGTGTTTGCGTTGCGGCTGATTTGCGCTGCTGAACTGCGAGAATTGATGTTGAACTTCACCAGAAAAAAACGCTTTTTGCGTTTTTTTGATGTGCCGCTGCTACCGCCGCCGTTTCTGATGCACTTGGCTTTAATTTGCCAATTTGTACCGCTTGACAGCGTTTTAATAATTTGTGCAGTGGTGGTAAAGGGCGAAATGAATGACTGGAAAGAGAGGAAAGACTGACGTAAAATTGTGAGACTGGTGGTCTTGATGGTGGTGGTGGCCAGGAGAGCTTTCTGAACGCTGAAGGATTAAGTTTTTGGCAGGCAGACCAGACAGCCACCGAAAAGAAAGTAAACGACGACCACCACCACCACCACCACTACCAGACGTCAGATTGCTANAGTGGTGGCCAGGACAGCTTTCTGAACGCTAAAGGATTAAGTTTTTGGCAGGCAAACCAGACAGCCACCGAAAAGAAAGTAAACGACGACCACCACCACCACTACCAACCGTCAGATTGCTGGCATTGGGTTTTTGATTTGCCGTAGCAGCAACAGCAGCTCGGGCAGCAGCTTCTATTGACCAGTTTGTTATTTGCATTCACTTTTTCTCCTAGCTCTAAGCCATTGCCCAATTTATCTGACTCTGCGCTGAGCTTCTTTCAAGGCTGCTGGCAGGCTGGCTGAAACTAAAAGTCATCAAAATCTGCCAGCCAGCCAGCACAATTATGACAGCTACTTCTTCCTCTTTGCCGTCAAGCTTCATACCATTAGCAATTTAAATTCAGCGAAGAGTCCTCTTTAGTGAAGCCCCCGCACTGTTTTCTTCTTCTTTCTACGAAGAGAGGAAGGTCGTTTGGCCATTTGCCGTCGTAGTTTTCGACAATTGGCTTAGCAAAATTGAGAGAGAGAGAGAGAGAATCCCTCCATTCTGTCTAGTCCCTCTAAATGTCTCTTTGCCTTCTCTCTCCTGTCTTCATCGATTGCACAGCAGCTAACTCAATTAAGCGAAATCGTGCAATTGTCAGTGAATAACAGAGTGTGCAGAGGGAGTAGGGGACAGTGCAGAGAATGTAGTTCAGAGCAAAAAGAGACAGTCGTTTATGAGGGTGTGTGTGGTCAAGTCTGTGTGTCTGTGTCTGAATGTGCAGTTGAATGAAAAAAAGGGAAAAGATGCGGGCATGCAAAATGAGTGCTTTCTGGCTCGAGTGGGTCAACAGCAGCAGCAGCAGCAGCAAATCTATGAGACAATGTCAGAGCTTTCCAACAATAACAACGACAACAACAACAACTGGACGCTTTTTTCCGCTACTCAGAGCTTAGAACTAGAAACTTTCTGCTTTTAAGAATGGAAAGGAGCTGAGCTTTCCTTTTTCTTTTTCTCCCTCCTTTTCTTTCTCTTTTGTTTCAGACTTTTGTCGACCATTAATTAACGTGCACAGTGAACTGTGCACTTTCTGTGATTCTGCCTTTTGCGTGCACTAATGAATTCTGAGACTACTCTAGCTCACAAACGCTACTGGACAAGTTTGAGTCAAGTTTAGGGAAAAACACACACACACAATGCCATGACGACATTTGGTAGGCGAGCTGAACCAAAAAGAACTTTGCTCAGCAGAGCTGAAGTTTGTGCTGGCTAGAGAGAACTTGCTGTGATTAGCGAAAAACTGGTAGAACAAAACAGAACCGAATTGTTCTAGTGTAGTGTGGTACTTGTAGAAACTAGCACTTGAAAACTTTGTCTTCTTTTTCTCCTCCTTCATCTAAAGCTTTGGGCCAGCAATTTAGCAATTTTTTACTCTTATGACGTACTCTTTTTTCTTTTCCCGTTTCTGATGGAGCCTCAGCAGACAATTTGTCCCTCTCCCCTCCTTTCATTTGCAGGTGACAGTTGAAAGTTTCAGTTTAGTGAGGGGAAGGAGAAAGGTAGAAGAAGCGGGATTCCGCCGCCTGAAGCTGCGCCTGCCTGCTCCGGCTGATTTGTCTCGCTTTCCTTTCCACTGACACAACAGCCAAATGTGAAGTGTGTCCTCTACTTCCACTCTTGAACACTCTTTCTGCTCCCCTCTTCCTGCTGGGCGCCTCTGAGCGCTTTCATTTCTCCCATTCCTATTCTCAATTGCCCCTGCACATTCAGCATTCAGGACGGCACATACTCGCTCACCAACAGGAACATTCATCTGCCACCTACGACATTTTGCTGTTCCCTCCATCGTGACTGTGTTGTACATGTCTGTTTCTATCTGCCTGCTTCTATCTGCCTGCCTGAATTGCTTCTGCGAATACGAATGCGAGCTGTCCTGTCTTGTCGTCGTCGCCAAGTTCATTACCGCTGGCAGCGTTTCCAATTTCACCAGTTTTCTTTTTGCCTGTCCTAATATTTCAGGAGCTTGTCGATTGTCGATTGTGAAACTCTCTGCTGTGTGTGCCCTGCAAGATAGAAAAGAAAAGAAGGGAAAAAGGGAAAGAGGGAAAACTAACGTTGTTGTTTTGCTTACAATGTTTCCTAGTTTTCCTATTTTCTCTCTTTCCTTTTCTTTCTTCTTTCTGTATCAGGAAACAGAGTAGAGTGGATAGGAGGAGGAAAATTTATTAGAGAGAATAGATTCGCTGAGGCAAATGTCGCCGAGTGCGTCACTGCACCAAGAGTGAAAAAGAAACGAGTGAACATTGCAATGGCTACTCAAGAGTGATGACCAAAGTGAGAGAGTCTCCTTTCTTTTCCATTCTCTGCCCCTTCTTTATTATTCTCAAATTACCAACTGACCAACGATGTTGATGTCTGCGCAGTGTGTTCTGGGCTTTCAAATGCATTCCACTTTTTCCATTTCTTTCGATGATGTTTTCTTTATTCTGTTTCTGCAGCCTAGTTCTTTCATTTTTTCATCATTCTATTCATTCCGGTGTTTTGGGTGCCAGAAACAGAACAGCATCAACAACAGCAGCAGTTTTGTGTATATCACATTGGGTACACATACAGCGGCTGAGAATTTATCGACATCGGTAGTGCCCCTTCATTTTGTATTTCAATTTCAATCATAAAGAAAAAGAAGAAAAATAGGCAGTAGAAAAAAGAACAGGGTTCCTGATTGTGCAGAGTCAATTCTAGATGTGAATGGCTGTGTGCTGGTGCCAATCGATTTGGCGACCGACTTTGCTTTTCCTTTGGTGAAAATGTGCCGATGAAAAATGACTTTGCCTTTCCTTCTTTCTCAGTGCTTTGGTAATTCTATAACCTGGATGTGAACTACTGCTTTGCACACTGACACCACACCACACAGACAGACTAATGAGCATCAGTAGCACACAAAAGTGCGGCTGTGATTTACCAGAAAGTGATGGGGGAAAGAGCTAAGGCCAGATTCACTTCCGCTTTTTGTGACTTTTCCTCTTCATCTTACTATATTCTTTTTCTTGGCAGTTGCCGGGGAACAGCAGCAGCAGCAGTAACTTGGTCTTTTGCACCGACGACGATCAGCGGAGAGAGGGAGAGAGGGCATTATCGCCGACTTTAGTGCTCCTGCACACTTTTGCTTCCTCTTCTTCTTTTTACTTCAATCGAATTAAAAGTCTCCGATTGCAGAAAGGCGGGAAACGGAGAAAAGGGGAAAACGGGGAAAAATAAGAAAAGAAAGGCAAAACGAGCCTCTCATTTGAGCGTCTGAGGGGAACAAAACGGCGACGGCGGCCGTCGTTTCAGTGCACCCACTGAATGCACACTTCACTGCATCAAATTTAACTGCCGTCGAAAGTTGCTGCTGTTGCTGCCTTTGAAGTACTAGGCTTGAACTTTTTGGCTCTCTCTTTCTTTCTTTATTTCTTTCTGTTTCAAGTTTCATCGAATGATGTGAATGAGAAAGAGAGGTGGAGGGCAGAGCACTCACACATTCACAAACTTGCTCCCACAATTTGCCTAATAATAAATGTTTGGCCTTCGCACAGTGTCGCGCAATGATCGATGATGGTGGTAGTAGTAGTGGTGACCCTTCCTTTCATGTTCACCCTTTCTCCTTCTTTCTCTTTCTTTCCCTGATCACAAATTCACGTCAAACTCAAGTAATTAGGTATTAAACTGATGGTGCAGTAGTAGTTCTACTACTACCACCACTCATTCACTGCACTGTGAATAGGTGAACACTCGTGCATTAAACATTCATTCAGTGCACAGTGAAAACAGCAACAGCAGCAGCAGCAGCTATTCAGGCTAGCTTTTCGGTGGCAGGAAGCACCGAAAATGTAATTAGTATGAGATGTGAGTAAGTGAGCTGTTCTGGCTCAAGATCTGCTGCCGCTGCTGAACTGCTAAAACTGAGCTCAATCACTCAATTATTGATTGTACAAGAGAGAGAGAGAGAACTTGAGTGAGGGAGAAGTTGTTGTACCAGCAGCTCTTTCCCTTTCCAATTAGGTAGTTTGTTGCAGAGTTGCAGAATGGGGCAGTTTTTTGTTGTTGATTTGCTCGCTCGCCTTTCTCTCTCATTTTCCCATTCACCTCACTTGCACTGACTCACTTTGGTAGACGGGCAATTTGTCTGCACACTAACACCACCACCACCACCGCCAGACTCACTTTCATTTGTCAGTTACACTTTTGTGCTTCTCTCGTTGGTGCGTTTTATGCTGTGCCGCCCTGGCACTGACGTGTGTTGTTGTGTGTGTCAATGCACACACAAACACATTGGCAAAAAAGAGTTTTTGTAGTGCTGCTGTTGCTGATTGGGAGAGCTGGTAGAAGAGTTGGCGGCGGCTGCAAAAAAATGTGTGTTTTCTTTTTCTCACTTTTTTTCTGCCGAGTGTGCAGAAAAAAGTTACAGTTGACTTTTCCGACCGTTGCCTTCTTCCTCCTTTACTTTGTTTGGTTACAAATCGGCGCCCCATTATCTCTCTTTCCCTTTCGCTAGTTTGAATCCTTTCATTAATCTTTTTATCTTATTTTTTTCCCACATTTTCAGTGCGTATTCAAGCCTGGTCATGGAATGTTTCGCGGTGGATACAGCTGCAACTGTCGGGATGGGTAAGTGTATGTCGGTGTGTCGGCGCTGTACAAAACAGTCATCGATTCTCAATTCACACTTTTCTTCTTTGCAGATTCCATTCCGCCGTGGCCCGACTGGAGCCCACCTTTAACGGCACCGCCGTGGAGCAGTCCTTTGAGGAGAAGAGGTAAGCCGTTTTTTGCTTTTTTGTACACATAAAAAAAAGAAATGGGAGTCTTGTTTTTGGTGGGGCACTGAATTAGATGCTAATGAAGAGCAAATACTGGAATAGAGAGAAACACACTAACATGGGCAAAAGTAGTAACAAAAAACTTGCTCTGATGGAATCATCATCATCACCACCACCAACATTAGCAACCTCAGTGCAATGTTTTGTACATTTACTACACAGTACATTATTTTTTTCTTGTTTGCTTTACCACCGGTGGTGTAGTGTTTGTGGTGGTTTTTTTCCTAACAAGCAAACAGCTAGATTCCAAGAACAAAAAACGAATTCCTCGCATCCTTTGTGAGCTAATTTAATTAACCACAAAAGACGTAGTAATGTCTCCTTCACTCCTCCAATATAGTTAATTTAATTCAGTGGACAGTTTATATTCCCCCCTCTCTTTGTTGTTGCTGTTGCCCATCAGTCGTTGCTGTTGCTGCGGTTGCTAAATGCTCGTTTACACCTTTGTTGCTTTGCCTTTTGGCCAAAGCGGCTTTTGCTGTTTTTCTTTCTCCTTGTTCTGGGAAGTATTAGCACAGGCAGAGACAGAGGAGATGCCGGTAATGGATGGCTTCCTTTTAGACCGCTATCACCACCACCAACACTGGCCATGTTCACTTTTGAAAATAGAAAAAAATTTTGAACGACCACCACCAACTCTGAAAGTTATCAATTTTCAGCTCTTATCGAGCTCGGGTGCGGAAAAAGAGGACAAAGTTTGGTCCGCCGCTTTTCCTTCCTTTTTTGTAGTTTGTGGATTGTGCATTCTGTGTGCGGTGATATCTTTTTCAGGCCATCTTGCTCGTCGGCTCGTTCGCTCGCCGCTTTTTTACTTTTGCACTAAAGCGGCCATTCTTTGCAATGTACAACGATATGTGGTGTGTGTGTTTGCACTGGGCTATTTATATATCACACTAAAAACAGAATCCGGAGGTGCAGTTTCCTGCAGATGCGATTCTTTGCGCCAGACTGTGTTCTGCACACACATTTCTTTCTACCTGAAAAGATGGGAAGAATATATTTGCTCGTTCGAATGAGTTTTCGTTTTTTCTCTGATGACGTCGAGAATTATCGCTCCTTTTGCACCGGTGGAATTGAGGGAAATTACAGTCTAGGTACAGCTGAAAAAAAGCAGGCAAACAAAAAAAGAAGAAAGAACATTGGTCTAGTGCCTTCAACTTCTTCTTCCTCTTCTTCTCCTCCTCGATTCCATTTTATGCACGATTGCCTGATGGTAGAAAAAGCTTCTTGTTCACAATTTTCTCACTCTCTCTCTCTCTCTTTGTTCATCCGTTTTGCCATCACACTTTGACGATCATCATCACCACCACCACTACCACCACCAACACAACACTTGATTAATTCCACTTAATTTAACAGAGCACAGAAGGCGACGTGCTCCAGAAAGCCTGAGAACTTTGTGCTACCAGCGCATCTCATTCTGCTGTTGCTGTTGTCTCTGTGGCATGCACCGGCATTAATGATCATGGCCAGCAGATTTACTGCCACTGAAATAGAGAGACTATAGGGACCCATTTTCGTTTGGGTAATCGGCAGCAGCAGCGATCTAGACTTCCTTATCATAATTTTTTTGGCTGCCCACTTCTCTCTCCAGTGTCTAGTAGAATTATCTGCCACAAAAAAACAGCAGAAAAACGGTAGACGTAAGATTCTTAGACGGTAAGAAGAAAGCAAACACACTGAGAGTAAAGTGAGAGCGAGCTTCCATTCAGTGACCAAATATTGACCATTGCATTTGCAGAAAGCGAAAGAGAAAGCTAATGGAGTGCCGGCTCCCACAATTCCACTTCCTTTGATGAAAAAAGATGATGATGATGATTTATTACATCATCATGTTCACCATCACCATCACCATCCCCAGCCCGACAGTGTTCTCAATTTCTCCTTCTTTTTTCTCTTTCTTTTTCAGCCCCTCCTACGTGTTCATGTTCGCCTGCAAGCGGTGCGCCGCCGGGTGCGACGTCTGCCGGGACGACTCGCCCTGCCTCAGCTCCTACGACTGGGGTTTTCGCATCTCCCTGCTCACCATCACCGTCCTCTGCATCGGCTTCGTCTTCGTCCTCGGCGTCAACATCTACCGCTACCGGCGGCTGAAGGTGATCAAGGTCGCCTCGCCCATCTTTCTCTGCATCACACTGCTCGGCTGTGCGATCATGTACTGCGAGGTAAGCTAAGAAAACGATGTTTTGAAAACACTTTNTCGTCCTCGGCGTCAACATCTACCGCTACCGGCGGCTGAAGGTGATCAAGGTCGCCTCGCCCATCTTCCTCTGCATCACACTGCTCGGCTGTGCGATCATGTACTGCGAGGTTAGCTAATCGGAAAAAGATGTTTTTCTGAAAGCTTTTTAACTAACATTTTAACAATTCTAGACTGTGGCCATCTTCCCTGTGTTGGACGCCGCCACCTGCGTCCTCACCAAGTGGACACGAAACTTTGGCTTCTGCATCACCTACTCGGCTTTGTTGTTAAAAACCTGGCGTGTTTCCCTCACCTACCGCGTCAAGTCGGCGCACAAGATCAAGCTGACTGATAAGCAACTGCTTCAGTGGCTTTTCCCCATTCTCCTCGTCATGGCCATCTACCTCGCCGCGTGGACCATCTCTGACACGCCCCAGGCCGTCTACATCGTCGACTGGAATGAGCTCAAGTTTAAGCAGTGCGACTACAACTGGTGGGACCACAGTTTGCTCATTGGTGGGTGCTTTTAGTGGAAGGTGATTTTTGTTTTGATAAACTCTAAAATCCTTTCTTTTTCAGGCGAATTCTTCTTCCTCCTCTGGGGCATCAAGGTGTGCTACAACGTGCGGAACGCCGAGTCGCTCTTCAACGAGGCGAGGTACATTACCTACGCCATCTACAACATCACCATCGTCAACATGGTGATGATACTCATTCAGTAAGATCAGAAAGATTTTTAAAGTT